TATAGGGGCTTGAGTTAATTATAAAGCGTATAAATCCGTTTTAAACATCATATTGCCAATAACCTGCATATTTCCTTGAGAATGTTTATGTGGGATCAATTATGGGCAGATCTTTAGAAAATTTGTTTGAGGTATTTTTATTCATACAACAAATACAATGTGGTTATGTCAATTCTAATTAAATTACTGATATTTTTTAAATAGTTATGAACGTTAGTCATTGTATGTGTTACAAACGGAATGTCAGAATTAATACATCCCGTAATAAAATAAATCTTAACAATTGTTTTTTTATATATCTTATGCAGGTGTTAATAATTTAATTCGATTTATTAAATTAATATATTTAAAATTTTTTAGGCTAATGGCTTTTAAGACATATATTGACTACTGTTTTTTAAATAGGTACATATAAAAATCGCATACATATTCCTCGATGTTTAAGATTTCAAGAGAAGTTATTATTATAAATATAATAAGGAATCCAACGTTAAGTTCTCGGTATTTTTTTAAGTGCTTTGTATTTTAAATAAAACAAAAAAAATATATAATTATATCATAAGAAAAAAAGACAATTCTAATGTACTTTACCTCTAGGATATGGCTTAATGTTGTCTTTAAGTTGCCATTTTGCAATTGAATAATTAGAAATACAATCTCCATTGTGATCAGTCCATTTGCAATTTATAGGTACACCTTTTACTTTAACAGGAGGACCACAATCGCTTCCTTTTTGAAATAAAACTAGTAAAAATGTTATTAGAAGTAATATATGTTTTCGCAACATTTTAATACGATCCGTTTGTTTCCAGCCTAAGTGGTTTAATAATATGAATTATTAAAGTAACATTTCTTTTTATATATGTATATATTTAGCTACCGCTATTAGCGAAAATTTAAAATGATATCATTATATGTATTTATTTTAGTGGTATGAGCTCATTTATTTTAAAAATGGAATATAACATGTTTTAGATTTTTATATTTTTAAATTAAATTAATCAAAATTTTCAAAGATTTATAAAAGACTTTTCAGAAGAAAAAAATAAAAATCTTCAGAAATTAGCGGAATAGATATATAATACAAATACATACATACTAAAGAACAAATGTACTAAAACGCTAAGCGAAAAGGGAAAAATGGTACTTTCCCTTTTTCGAGAGAAAATATCCCATACCTCTTTGAGGAACCTTTCGAAATGTTAATCTGCTACTGCATCAAGATTTTCAGCAAAAAAAAAGAGCGAGTCAAAAAAAAAAAAAAAAACTAATGAAATATTGCATTTCAAATCTTGATATGCAGATAGCAGTTCTTCAATTTTTTCTTTATAGTTGTCATCATATAACTATTTTTTTGTTCGATTGTTTATAAACTAAAAATTAACTATATTTTTGCTAGAAGTACTCTTTGATAATATTAAAAAAAATTAAATTCATAATTTTTTCATGTTTTTGAACTTTAAACATTTGGTTTTAAGTCAAATTTTGAGATATAAGTTGGGTACCAAAAGAGTTAAGAAAAATTTGGAGATTTGAGAAGAAAACCTCCAAAAACTTGAGATATATAATGAAGGATAATGGGTTGCGACATTATCATTCAGTTGGCGCAACATTATTATTTAATTTAACAAGAAAAATAATTATATTTTATGGATAAGCACTTCTGATTGAGAGCTCGGTATCTAGCGGGAGAATTGAGTTCTCTTGTTGATTGTATTTCACTCTTTGTCATAATGTCTAATAACACTGGCCAGCGAAATAAAGGCTTAAAAGCTAGTTCCAATTTTTTCGATATCATCTTAAAAATGTGTCCTGATTATACATTTTAACTAAGTTTCATTTAAATCGGTTGAAAACATGATAATACTTCAATATGATTTCATGAAAATTTCGCAATATTGCATAGCTTGAGTTTGCCCTTCACAGTTTATGGGTTAACATTACTTGATTTTATTTAAACTTCAGTTATATGTTTACTCTGAAATTTTATATTTTGAAAAGATTTTATATAAAATGCATAACAGTAAGGTATTAAGGCTAATTTTCAAAAATACACATTACCAAAATATTTTTCTTAAAATTTAAATCTTAGGTACCGCTAATCTGTGGCAGATATCGAATTTCTTTACTATTGTATTCCATTCTTCACAGTCCATGATTCACATGGAGATTTTTTTAAAATTTCAAATTAGCTTAACAATATTTTAAAAGTTTGAAACTGGAGTTTTGAAACGAAAGTCTGAAGGGGTTTGTATATTTAATGTTATGACATTGTTTATTTTTGAAATATTTCCTATTTAAGTGTTTTGTGACACTAAATGATCTAAAGAATTTGTGATAATTTTAAACATTTTGACAAATTTTCGTGTATTATATATTTATGAGAATGGTAATTTAGTATACATACATATATTTCAATTATCTACTGTTAAAATCCAAAAATATAAGTAGTAAATTTTATCAAAAACCATTCCCCACTTCAGAGCCGTGGCGTTACTAGTTAACGTAGGCCTATCATCCGAATTTTTTCCAGAATGCACTTTTATAACTTTAAGTTTAGAGACAGAGACACTCAATATACGTAAATTCTCTAAAATTAAAGAATTTAATATTTAAGACACAAGTATTCAGCCGCGGTTACTAAAATATCAAAATGTAGTGAATTGGTAGGTGATAGGACGTTTTTATTGTTGTTTTTCGGAATCAGCACACCAAATAATAGTAGGATTAGTGTAATTAGAACACTCAATACAATTGTCTTTAAAATATTGTACTATATGTGTGAAATATACTGAGAAGAATCCAATTTCAAAATTAAGTATAAACAAAATCTTTTAGCGTCCGAACTTTTTCCATTGCGGTATTTTTTTTAAGTGCTTTAAATTTGATTATCAATAAAATATAGTAAAAATCTAATACCAAAATTAATTAAAAATAATAATAATATTGGACATTAAAGTGTACAATAAAACAAACGGGCTCAGTAAAATATGTATAGTATGTATTGTATGTATTTTGATTTATTTATTTTTTTTTAATTTTGAAAAGTTCTTATCATTTTCAAAACATACGTCGTGAAATTGCTTTCCTTAGAGCTAACTATAAAAACCATGTCTTAATATTTGGTACAACTTTAAACATTGTAGCACATAGACTACAAATGTATATTCCATTGTCATCTCGCCAAACGAAATATTCTGAATTTCCTTTTACTTTATGTAGATAAAACTATCAAAATTGTTATTAGTAGTAATATATGTTTTCTCAACATTTTAATGCGATCCGTTAGTCTTCATGAATTATTTAAGCATCATTCCTTTTTAGCGAAAATATAATGATATATAATCAATATAATTTATATGAACATATGATATAAAGATATAAAGGATTTATTTTAAAAGTGGCATGAGCAGCTCATATAAAAATAATGCAAGTTTTGCATCATTATATTTTTAAAAATAAAGAAACTTTTATATACTTACATATATGTATATATATAAGATTCTCGTTAATGAGTCACGGATCCTAGACGGCTTTAGTGACAGCCGTCTGAGGTTGAATTATATCAATCATAAAACACATTTCGTTATAGTAATTAATCTGTACTGTTTTTACTCGATTGTGCATGCGATAATTCGACTGCAACACATCGAAATATTGGTCATAAATTCCCAAAAGTATATATATTCTGGGTCCTTATTAAATTCTAACACGATCTAGTCATGTCTTCCGTCAGTCTGTTGAAAACACAATAGAGTCCAAACCGAAAGCGCTAGAGGATTGAATATTCCTTACAGGTAAGGTTTGTTTGATATTGAAAATAGACAGTAACGTTTTCGCATACGCCCCATACAAGTGGCCCCCTGAAAAACTGTTTCAAGAGTCATATATAATTTATGATGAATAATTTAAAGAGTATGGCGATGAAATTCGACTTAAATAAGTTTCATGTGAATTTTATGAAGATCGGACCATAATTAACCCTACCTCCACATAAGGTCCTTTCCAGAAAATGACTTTAACGCTCATAGGTGGCATAAAATTAAGAGTACGGCGATGAAATTCTATGTAAAGAACTTTTATATGAACTAAATTGGTTCTTCAATATTTTAGTAGGATGTGCCAATAATTAACCCTATCCCCCCTTCAAGGTCCCCTAGAGAAAATGACGTTAAAGCTCATTACTGGCTTGAAAATACTAGTACAGCGATGAAAATCGACATAAACAAGTTCTGTATGATCAAAAATTGATCTATAAAATTGTTCAAAGAACGGTCCATAATTCAACCCACCCCTCATATATACATATAAAGCCGCCCTCAGAAAATTACTTTAAATCACTAGCGATGAAATTCGATATAAAAAAAGTTGTATAGAAAATTAGTTCTTCATTCCGAATTAGTTGAGGATTAGACTATAACTGACTCTTAAGGTACTCTTCAGGAAAGGATTTTCCTTATTTAAAATACAAGTATAATTTGTAGAAAACGGAGCTTAATTGAATAAACAGAAACCGATAATCTTAACATTAAACCATCCACAGGGGTCAATAAAACAATTTCTACGAGCGTTAATAAGAACTAACGACCCTCAATAAAACTGTAAAACGAAGTTTAAAACTAGCAACAAAATATTATGAATAGATTCGATTAGATTATGGACTCAGGATTAGACCTTTTGAGCAGTTTGAAAAGTAAAATCTTTCTTAAGGAATATCTAAAATTGATTCCAGTAACCAATGTGATCCATTTAGGTAATCCGAAAACTATTCCCTTGAAAACATTATTGGAGAACATGATCCGTTTAGTAGACCTATGCAATGCAGGCATAAACCATGTTTTTTTAAACAACAAGGACTGCATGTACTCCCATAATTTAAATGAAGCATGTTTCTTTTTCATATATTTGTATTAGTTTTGGACTAGTCCTAGTTCTTTGAGCTCAAAAAAAAAAATCACTTGTTCAAAGCTTTACATTAACCTTTTGTTTTGTTTTTTTCTTTACGTAGAGTTCCAGTACCCGATGAAAGATTTGACTATTTGGTTAACTACCACAAGCCAGCCAGGTACAACAAAGTTTACTTATTAAATTGCAACTTTTTTAAATTTCTATTTTTTACTATTTCACAGCAAAGTTCCTGCATACTTGAATGTAGTCGATATTGCCGGTTTGGTAAAGGGTGCTGCCGAAGGTCAAGGTTTGGGCAATGCTTTCCTTTCACACATCAACGCTTGTGATGCTATATTCCATTTGTGTCGTGCTTTCGATGATCCCGATGTCACCCATGTCGAAGGTGAAGTTGATCCAGTACGTGATTTGGATATTATTTGTGAAGAATTGCGTTTGAAGGATGAAGAGAAATTAATGCAATATTTGGAAAAATTAGAAAAAGTTGTTGCCCGTGGTGGTGATAAGAAGCTAAAGCCTGAATATGATTCGCTTTTAAAGATCAAGGGTATTTTGGTGGATGAGAAAAAGCATTTAAGATTTTCTGACTGGAATGCTCATGATGTAGGAAAGATTTATTAAGTCACTGCTTGATATCAATTTCTTAATGATTTTTTATATATAATTCTTTATTTTAGATTGAAATCTTAAACAAATACTTGTTTTTGACCTCTAAACCCTGTATTTATTTGGTCAATTTATCCGATAAAGATTTCATACGCAAGAAGAACAAGTGGTTGCCCAAGATCAAGGAATGGGTGGATAAAAATGATCCCGGTGCCACCATTATACCCTTCTCGGGCGCCTTTGAGCACACTTTGGCCGAAAAAGACGATTTAGAACAGAAAGCCTATGAAGATGAGACTAAATGTAAATCACAATTAGATAAAATTATTGTTACCGGCTATAAAGCTTTGCAATTGGAATACTTCTTTACCGCTGGTGCTGATGAAGTTAAGGCCTGGACCATACAAAAGGGCACTAAAGCTCCCCAGGCTGCCGGTCGTATTCACACCGATTTCGAAAAGGGTTTCATTATGGCTGAAGTTATGCATTTCAAGGACTTTAAGGAAGAAGGCACTGAAGCGGCCTGCAAAGCTGCTGGTAAATATCGTCAACAGGGACGTAACTATACAGTGGAAGATGGTGATATTATATTCTTTAAATTTAATGCCGGTGCTGGTCTTAAGGATGCCAAGAAGAAATGATACCGTATGGCTATGCTTTTATTTACAATGTTTTATTTTAATTTAATTTTTTACACGCAAAGCTTTTTTAGTAGAAATAGTTCATAAACTCATAATAACTCATATAAAAGTTTCTCATTTAAATATGTGAAAAGTTAATGGGTTGATAAAATAATGAAAAGAAATTTGCTAAAGGAGTGATTTCCCATATATAATTTGCTATGTATTTGTGATCAATAAAAAAAGAAGGACAAACTAAATGTGTAACTTATTTAGTAAGTTGTATGTAAGATTAGAATTCAATTATCGGGTTTTAAAAAGCAATTCCCCTGATAAAATTATTGGAGTAAATAATCAATGTAGGTAATCCCAAAACAATATAATTGTGCACATTATTGGAGTATTGCATCCTTTTAGTAATCCCATGTAATGCAGACATGAATCATGTTTATTTTTTCAAAACTTATAAATAGTCCATTACATAGGACCAAGATGAGGACCATGTACTTCATAATATTAGCAAGGGTTTCGTTTTTAGGATAGTCTGACGTGCTTAGATGGATTACATGATCCTTATTTAGTACATCGGAATGTTAAATGGAGCAGGTTTTTTCAAATGTTTGCATTAGTTTTGTACTAGTCCGGAGTAGACTTAAGGGTTTCCAGCCAGCCTAATACCAATAAAACAGACACAAATTAATCTCTTGGTAGATGGTTTTAGGGGAAGCAAAATCATAAAATGATATCTGGAACACAATTTGAATTCAATGCAAGTTCTAGTCATGTTCTAAACAGTTATTCAGTGAAAAATGAGGTACATGTCAAGACGGTTTCTAATTCTGTCCAAAGATGAAAACAGTTTGCAGCCGAAACACTTTGTGGTTTCTTAATTTATAGAGTAAAAACGTTCATATTTGAAAATGCCAAAGTTCCGGCTTGCCTAAAACTAGCAATTTAGGGAAACGGTGGACATAAACTTGCCAACCAGTCAAACCCTTTAAGGGAATAGAGAACAATGATTTTATTTATTTAACAGAGTTTCCGACTGCAAGTTGGAAGAGTATACTGCAAAAAAAACTCTGCCGGCTACAAGTTGTAAGAATACATTGCAAAATTGTAATTGGAACATACCTGGAAGGGACTGCCAATGAAATGCTTCTTTTTGTTAAATATTTATTAACTTTTTGATTATTTACTTAAAACTTTTACTAATAACGACATTTATTTTCTTATTTACTTTTTTATTTATTAAAAACACACATATTTTTTATTTTCTTATTAGAAATTTAACAAATTAGAAATTATTTTCTTAACAAAAAACAAACACACACACACGAACTTCTACAAAAGAAACGAAGGCATTTTCGTTCCCAAACAACGACAAACTAAAAACATTTCACTAAACTTTACACACATTTTTTGCTAAAAATAATGAATTTCTCAACAAACCAATTATATTTATGAAAAATTGACACTTTCATTTATAATATTATAAACTTTTTTTTAAAAAACTAAACACTTTTTAATCACGAAATTTATAATTAAATACGAGACTAATTTCTTTAACCGTTGCCGCCATTTAACGAGAATAAACTACTAAAGCAAAGAAGAAGAGACAGGGTTGTATTCATTAGTAGATAGAGAAGGTAAGTTTTTGATTTAATGTAAATGACAGCAATAATTCAATCGGCAAGCAATAGTGGTAAGAGTCTTTGATAGGAAATAATTAAGAATTATATAGGATACGGTTTGTTTATTAAGTTATGTATGAACATTTTTTATAAAATTTCAAAAAATTAAATAGTTTTTTTTGTAAATTTTTAGCTAAATGGAGAATATTGATTTGTTATTTAAATCAACAATTACTTTACTAAAAGTAATTTTATAAAAGAAATATAAAATCACTATAGGTATGTATGTTTTATTAATTAAATTAACCAATGGTTCATGTCTTTGCTTTTCTATCTTCTTCTTGTTCAACATTTTCTATTATCAACTATTGAATACATTATCGCAGTTTTACCATCTCTATGTATAAAATACAACACTTGCTTGTCAGAGTTTCATTAGTTCTTTATTTTCGTTAAATGGCGGCGAACGTTAGTAAAACTAGTCTTGTATTAAATTAATAAATTTCGTGGTAAAAAGTGCACGGTTTTTAAAGAAAATTGCAGAATTTTATAAATAAAAGTGTTAGTTTTATGTGTATATAATTGGATTTTCCCAAAGTCGAATATTTATTATGCAAATTGCGTTTAAAGTTTAGGTCAAAGAAATGCAGTGTGTGTGAGAATTTTTCAGCTTGTTGCAGTTAGTGTTGTGTGTTTTAACGAGTAGTAGTGCATGTAATCGGTTATTTTCCAATAGGAACATTTCAAAAAACAAATGTAACGAACTTTAGTTTAGATAATTAAATAAAATTTTAAAGAAATTTAAATTAAAAAAGGAAAAATTAAAAAAGTATATAAAAAATTAAAAAATATACAAAATTTAATAATAATGAAAGTATAAAGTCAGGAATGGAAATAACCGATTACATTCTAACAGGAACAATTTTAATGCACAAAAATTATTGATGAACTTTAGTTTATATACATATGTATTTCTACCAATAGTTTCCAATAAGAAATGTCATCAAAGAATATCTCTGCAAATGTATAACGGTAAGTCATTTTCATGATTTATTGGATTTATAGAAAAAATTTATATATTTTTGTCAAAATGTGAAAATTTTAATATTGATTTATTAATAACACTGTCCGACCCTAAAAATTAGACACAAACGGATAATATTAGTCTGAAACTATAAATTTTATGGAGAAAAACTGCGTTATTAGTTTTTCACTTCGTTATCCTGTATCCTTTTTAAATGACTTTAAATTTTTAAAAAGTATATTTTTCAAAAAATATTTTAAAATACTTCTACTTTTTTTTTTTGAATAAAATGTTTATTACTTCAAAAGTGAGAAAAAAGTACCAAAAGGGGGAAAACAGGAAATAAGATTTTATTCAAACACATTGAGTCAAATTTAATAAAATTAAAGAAATTGGTAAATTTAGTAACACTAAATATGCTAATGGGCTGTAAGTTGGAACTATTTTACAAAGTACTATTTTTTGGTACTTTTCCGTTTTTTAGCTGGTATTTTTTGATATTTGTATAATCAGGAGTAAATAAGAACCTGTAAAAGGGGACATGTTGGTATTTTTTCAATTTTTAAAGGTATTTTTTGAATTCTCTTAGTAATGAACCGATCAGGAGTAAATAAAAACCTGTAAAAGGGGACATGTTGGTACTTTTTCGTTTTTTAAAGGTATTTTATGAATTCTCTTAGTAATGAACCGAGGCATAAAATTAAGCATGTAGATCTCGGAGTAAATAAGAACCTATAAAAGGGGGTTGTTTGGTACTTTTCCGTATTTAAAGTGGTACGTTTTCTAGTACATACATATATTAAAGCTGAAATCATAAAACTAAGTATTCAGGAACTTGAGTGAATAAAAATCTAAAATGGAGTATTTTCTGGTACTTTATCTTTCTTTAACTGGTACTTTTTGAATTTCCTATAATATAGAACTAAGGTACATGAAATCACATAAAAGTATTTTGGTACTTTTTCGAACATCAATATGAATATGTAAACATAAAATTAAACACGCAATTATAAAATGATACTTTCTGATGCTTTTTCGTTCTTTTACTAAGACTCTTTTGAATTTTCTATACCATTGAACATAAAACCATTTCTTTTCTGAATTTTCGGTAATATTGAGACTAGAATCATAAAATCGAACTAATAAGATTCTTATTGATTGAAAATATATAAAAGGGGACTTTCATATAATAATTAATTAAATTTATAATTAATGTTTCTTTATTAGAATACTGATGAACATCAAAGGGTTTAAGTAGTGCTGTGATATAAGGAGAAATTGCATCCAATTAACCTTAAAGCAATTTTGTACTTAAAATTGAAGACAAAATTAATGCGAGCCTATCAATGTCTATACAACTTGATATATATATATATATTTTTTTTTTGTATAATAAATAATATGTCCATATAAAAACCACAATATTATTTTTAGACTATAACACAGGGTTGGCATAATGGGTACAATTGTACTTTTTTAGTACCTCTAGTTTATTAATTAGTTAAGGACTTGTCTAGAAATTAGTCTTTGGATTATTATACGGGTTTATTATAGATATTATAGATTAAACATTAGAGTAGTGTAATATCCAATCTATAGAGTAGTCTACTCTATGGTAATATTTAAAATCAGAACAGTTCATATATTCATATATTAATTTACTAACATATTAACGGTAACAGATTAAAGTAATGAAACCGGTTTGAGAAAATTTGTTTTGCTTACCATCCCTGGTATATCATTGGTATCACATATAAATTTATTTATATTTCTAATCATATAATCTCTTTGTTTAATTTATTATAAAAATAAAATACGATCATTATAACGCAAAAGTTACAACTAAACGGATCGTATAAGATTAATTAACTAAAGATGTTAAAAAAACTATTTACTTTCTCTATAGTATGGTTTCTAATAGTTCAGTGCCAAACAAGAATCAGTAAAGTTAGTCAAAACACGCCACTGAACTGTGAATATGTTTCAAATCTAGCAAATTGTGTTAAGAAATTGGAAATTCCATTAGAAGTCTAAAGTTCAGCGTAAGGCTTAAAAGGGATTCTGGAATAAAAAAGTTTTTCATAAGGAATATAATTAATGAAAAATAAATAATATTACTGACAAAATTTAATTTGTATTCATTTGTCTAACTCGACGGACTTTATCAATGGATTCTAATAATAGCTCTAGTGATTTGAAGTAAGATTTTAGTTGAAACAAGTAAGAGTTCCATATTCGGCTGTGTCTAGTCTATAATATACATATATATAATAAACCTGTATAATAATCCAAAGACTAATTTATAGACTAGTCCTTAGATAAATTAATAGACTTGAGGTACTCTGCCGAATTTTATATACCATTCAACATGATGTCTTAAAAAGAGTCAATATGAAATTTATTACAAAAATCAAAAGAAAGTCTTATTTTAAAGATTTTCAATCGATCAGGGTGCTACCTGTGTGCATAAAAGCCAAAAAATACCAGTCATAAAACGAAATAGTACCAGAAATAATTTCCTTCAGATTTTCACTAACTTTGGACTTGATTAATTTTATATGTTCTCGCTCACTTAATTTCATGTTTCTATGTTCAATGTGGTAGA